CTCCAGAGCCTTCCGGAACGCTCTGAGAGCGCTCCGGAACGCTCTGGAGCGATTTATCCCGATCCTAGCCCTGTTTTAGCAGGAAATCCCAGACGGCCCGAGAAGGCCCCCACTAGGTTCCATGGAGCTCCCAGCTGGACTCCGAGGAGGGCCACGAGGACGCAGGACGATCCACACGGGCTTCGCCTCCTGCCGCCGATGCCCCCTCTCGGAGAGCGGGGCACGCAAGAGCGGTGCATGTGAGGCCTGGGCGCCGTCGAGGAGCAGCGTCGGAACTCCGAACGGGTGCAACTGGAGATATGAGCGTACCAAAATCCATCCAAAACCTAAGCAACATCGCAGATGTTAGCCTCTTGGGCCCCTCTTGAGGGTGCTCTTGGAGCGCTCGTGGGGCCGCTTGGGGTCCTCTTGGGACGCATTGGGACCATCCGTGTGGAGGCCTATTGTGCCGTCATGGGGGCCTTTTATGTAGGATTGTGGTTTCGGAAACACGAACACTGCATACTTCACAAGGGTTTGTGACTTCGAGGGCGCGAAGAACGCGTAATTTACTAGGGATCGTGGTTTCGGAGACACAACTATCGCATATATTACAAGAGAGTATTTCCTGGGAGACTCAAGTACAAAACAAAAAATGAAGTACGGCTTCAGGAGTGCGAACTCAGCGTAATTTGCGAGGGTGTATGGCCTCGGGGACGCGAACACTGCGTACTTTACCAGGGAGTATGGCCGCGGGGGCGCGAATACGGTGTATTGGACAAGGGGTTATGGTTTCGGGGGCGCGTATCTCACGTGAGAAATTTTGAGAAGCCCCCCAGGTGAAGGTGGCCAGGGCCTTTTTCGGCATCATAGGAAGCAGGCGACATAATGGTAACCTCGGAGACTGGAAATTGGAACCGGAGCAGGGAGCAGCACAAGCCTAATCCCTGAAGCCCGATGGCCCCGCAAGGGGGCCGGCGGGGTCAATATTCTTCAGGTTTTCCGGAACTTCCTCTTGCGATCGCTTCTGCTGCCAAAAGGAGGGGGAGGAGGAGGAGGAGGAGGAGGAGGAGGAGGAGGAGGAGGAGGAGGAGGAGGAGGAGGAGGAGGAGAGAGGAGGAGAGAGGAGAGGAGGAAGGAGGGGGGAGGACGAGGGAGGAGAGAGAGGAGGAGGAGGAGGAGGAGAGAGAGCCTCCCGCATCGTCCAGAGGGCGCCCAGGGAGCCCCCAAGAGAGCCCCTTATTCAAGACGGCCGCGGGTGCTCCCAAGACGGCCGATCGACCTGCCAAGACGGCGCCAAGGGAGGCCCAGCAGGGCCAATCCTGGAGCGCTCCCACACACACACCCTCCCTCCCCTCCCACAGCCAGCAAGCCACCAAGAAGACCCCCCGAGGCTCCAATACGGCTTCCGGGGCACTCCCCAGAGGCTCCAGGAAAGCTTCCAGCAGGTCCCTCGAAACGGCTTTGATCTGCTCGTACTCCTACAGGGCCCCAGTTCAGTAGAACAAGTGATACCCCACGGGCTCATCGAAGGTCTCCTGCTCCGATAGGCTCCCAGAAAGCACCAGCTCATGGGAAAGACGCCATACCCCCCACCTCTTGGAACACCTCTCGTGCGGGAAGGGTTGCAGAAAATGGCTGCCAGATCCAGCTGCGGCCACCAGGGAGCGCTGTTTCTGCAACCCTTCCCGCGCCGAGTGTGTCCCAAGAGGTGCGGGGTGTAGTTTTTCCAATCCTCTTGGGCCTCCTCCCCCTCCTGCCCGTCGTCTTTCTCCTCCGCCACAGGCGCTCGGAGTCAGAGCCGCACGAACCCCAAGAGGCAAAAATCGTCCCATTCCTTTCGTTCTTTTCGTCTGCACAGCTCCAAGACGGCTGCACAGGCCCCCAAGATCGCGCCTAGACGCACCCAGGAGGGTCCAACAACGGCCCGAGACGGCCCCGAGACGGCTCCAGAGGCGCCCGAGACTGCCCAAGAGGCACCCACGACAGCCCCAAGAGCTCCCAACCACGACCTAAATACGGCTCAGAAGCGCTCAAGAGGGCGCCCGGACGCCCCAAGAGGACCGCATGCGAGCCCCAGGATGGCCCCAGAGGCTTGCAAGGCAGGCCAGGAGACTCCCGTGACAGCCCAGGAGGACCCCCAGGAGAGACCCGAGGGGCAAAATCGTCCCATTCCCTGCAGGAAACATATATGTGTCATGTGTTCCTTATGTTCGTTTGCACAGTTTCGAAGACGGCTGCACAGGACCCCAAGATCGCCCCAAGACGCCCCCAGACGCCCCCGACCCTCTGGGAGCCATCTCTGCGCCATTTGGGGACGTCTCGGGGCGGTGCGCTCGAACGATCGACTCGTGTCCTCGCACTGGGGCCCGTCTTAGGGAGTTCGTGGGCGCCCCTCTGGGGCCGTATGGGAAGCCACTTGGCCCGTCCTGGAGACCTTTTGGGCCGTCTCGCCGCCCTCTTGCAGGCTTCTTAGGCCGCGCCCACTGGTCTCATTGTCACCGCACTACCAGATAAAATTATCATTCGGCCCAGGCGAAGAGCAGATAAACCTCTCACGGCTACCCTCCCCGCAGAAGATGTGATGAACACAGACTGCGGCGTGAGAAACAGCTTCTGTCCACACCATGTCATGCCTACACGGGTGTGCTTACACTGACACCGCCTGCGCCACCGCGTTCCTGCCTCCAGGCCTGCTTGCTTGCATCCCTCGCCCACCTCCACCTCCCGCGGCCACCTCCTCCATCCACGCCGTCTCCTCCAACCACCATTTACCCGCGAGGCCCCAGGGACACTCCACTTCCACGTTCACGCCAGGGCTGGCAGATTCTGCGGCCGGACGGCCGCGGGTCAGCCCTAGTCCCTACTACACTGCGGGCATTCGCGCGCGCGAGAGGTTCTGGGGTCGGGGAGCTCCTCTGACCCCCGGCCCGGGGCGGCGCGGTTTAAAGACGCCCCGGGCGGCCCCGGAGAGGCTCCGGAGGCCCCAAGAGGCCCCCAAGACAGCTCAAGGGGCCCCGAGACGCCCAAAGAGCGCTCCAAGAGGCCGCCCAGACGGCACAAGAGGCCTGCGAGCGTACTCCCCGAGGGCCCCGAGCGGCCAAAATCGTCCCCTTTACGACGGTTTTGGATGGATTTTGGCCTTCTCGCCTTTTCCGTTTTCCGACGCTCGAAGACGGCCCAAGAGGCCTCCAAGAGCGCCCCAGAACGGCCCAAGAGGCCTCCAAGAGCGCCCCAGAGACGCTCAAGACGGCCCACGAGGGCCCGAAGACAGGCCCAAGAGGGGGCCAGGAGGGGGACCACGGACCGAAAATCCGAGCCTTCCGCCCCAAGAGGGCGCCAGGAGGCCCAAACAGGCCCCCAAGAGACCCCAAGGGGCCGCCAAGAATCCCCCGAAGAGGCCCCATGAGGCTCCCAAGGAGCCCAAACGAGGCCCCAACGGAGGCCCCAACAGCTTCCAAAATAGCCCCAAAGAGGCCTCGAGCCCGCCTCCGAGCTTCCTCGCCACGAGGGTGCCAACACGGCCCCAGACGGGCCCAGGACGGCCCAAGGCGCGCTCAAGACGGCCCAAGACGACTCCAAGACGGTCCCAGGAGGGTGGGCCCAGGACGGCCCAAGGACGCGCCCGGTCGGGGCCTCAAGACGGGCCAAGATGGCAAGAGAGCCCCAGCTGGCAAAAATCGTTAATTTTCCATTGTTTATTGTTACACCCTTTTTGCGTTTCCCGCCATTTCGGCGGTCCGATGCACCAAGAGGCCCCAGAAAGTCCGAGGAGGGTCCGAGGAACCGCCCAGGAAGGCCCCAAGACGGGCCAAGACGGACCCAGCACAACCCAAGGCGCGCTGCGACGGCTCAAGACGGCTCCAAGACAGACGGCCCAAGGAGGCGCACAGGAGGGGCCCAAGACGACTCCAAGGCGGCCCCCTCACGGTCCCAGACGGCTCCAAGACAGCCCCACGATAGTGCCAACAAGGACCCCGATGGGCCCAGGACGGCCTACGGACGCGCCCATGAGGGGCCCACGACGAACCAAGACGGCCCCATCACGGCAAACGGCGCCCTCAAGACGGGCCTAGACGGTTCCAAGACGGCCCTTTGAGGGAGCCAACGCGGCCCCACACCCTTCGGGCGAACATTTGGGGGGGCTGGGAGCTTGCGACAAGTCTCCCACATTCATTGTCCTGCCCCATTCTGTTCGCCTGGAGGCCTCCTCCAACCCTGTGGGCGAACAAGAGGAATCCCAGCGGGATGCCAACCCTGGGGTCCGTGGGCCCCGCGCCGCTTGGGCAGAAGACGAACGCCGGGTTTGACAGGCCAGCTACCGCCCCCCTTTGCCCGATATGCTGTGCCATTCTGTTCCCCCAGGGGCCTTCTCCAAGTCTTCGGGTCAACCAGACCGGACCCCCCCTGGGACAGCAGCCAATTGATATGACCCAGGGACCTCTCCGCATTCTTCGGATGAGCACCTGGGGGGCCCAGGAGATTCGGACAAGTCTTCCGCATTCCTTGCCCTGTCCCGTTCTGTTCGCCCGAAGGCCTCCACAGACCCTCTGGGCGAACAGAATGGGACGTGGTGAACAAACCCTCCCGCTCAGATGGGCTTCGACTTCGACGCACATCCCCGAGAGACTTCGAAACTGCCCTCAATAGGAGGGGGGTGAACGAGCAGTGCGCTGGGCCAAGCTGCTGGAGCGCTGCAAGAGCTCGGACACGAAGGCGCGGTCTCGCTGCCGCCGCCCGAGCCGCCGCCGTGTTTGTAGATGTTCGGTACAATCTGCGCCGTTCCTTCGAGAACCATTCCAGAAAGATGTCGTGGACGGAGTCCACGGGTTCGTCCTAGTCTCTCCTACAATGCTGGGATCAGCGCGTGCGAGAAGGGCGAGCAGTGGCAGCGGGCCCTCGGGCTGCTCAGCGCGACACGGGGGGCGGAGCTGGAGCCGAACGCCATCAGCTACAGCGCCGGGATCAGCGCGTGCGAGAAAGGCCGGCAGTGGCAGCGGGCTCTGTCGCTTCTCGGCGAGATGTGGAGGGCGAGGGTGAAGGCCAACGTCGTCAGCTACAACGCCGGGATCAGCGCGTGCGAGAAAGGCGCACGGTGGCAGCAGGCGTTGGGGCTGTTTTGCGACATGTGGGAGGCGAAGCTGAAGCCCGACGTGATCTGTTCTACCACGCCTGGGCCTGCTTGTGCCGAAGGGCCCTCGGGGCCGCCGCCCCAGGGCCCTCACAGGCAGGTCCCAGGAGCTCCCGCGCTGATCCCGGCGAGACTCCGACCCGCCCTGGAGGCCTCCAGGGTCGCCCAAGATGCTTCAAGCTTCAAGATGGCAAGATGGCCCAAGATGGCGTCTAGACGGCCCAACAGGGCCACAAAATGGCGCAACACGGCCTTAAGACGGCTCCAGAGGCTCCGAAGTCGACCCCAGAGGGCTCCAAGAGGCCCTGTAGGAAGGCCCGAGGCGGGCAAAATCATAGATTGCTTTTCAAGGATTTTAGCTTTCTAGCCTTTTCGGGCAAGCGATCTCAGCTTCTGCACGCGGGCAAGCTGTCGTGGACGTAAGTCCACGGGTCAGCTCTAGTCAGCTACAGCTCTGGCATCAGCGCCTGCGAGAAAGGCGAGCAGTGGCAGTGGGCCTTGTCACTGCTCAGAGAGATGTGGAAGGCAGAGATGGAGACCACCGCCATCAGCTACAACGCTGGGATCAGCGCATGCCAGAAGGGCGAGCAGTGGCAGCGGGCGTTGACGCTGCTCAGCGAGATATGGGAGGCGAAGCTTAAGCTTAACGTCATCAGCTACAATGCTGGGATCAGCGCGTGCGGGCATGGCGATCAGTGGCAGCGGGCGTTGGCGCTTCTCCGAGAGATGTGGGAGGCAAAGATGGAGCCGACCGTCGTCTCTCCTACATGGCCAGGGGAAGCGCGTGTGGAAATGGAAACGGATCAAGCATCCAAAATCGGCCTCAGCGGGCCCCTGGCACGGCCTCGGCGGGCCCTTGGCGTCCCTGGCGCGGCCTGGCGTGCCTCCGGGCGGCTCGAGCACGCTTCGGGACGCCTTCAAGGAGCGCCGCGATCTCGGGCCAAGAGCCCCAAGACGGCCCAAGAGGCCGTCCAGACGTCTCGCGGCGGCCACAAGTGTCTCGCGATTTCGAGCTAAGAGAGGCCCAAGACAGCTACTGGGCCCCCCCCGAACGCTCCCAGGCCGCTCAAGAGCTCCAGCCAAGGGCCCCAAGACAGCTCAGGAGGGCTCCAAGACGGCTCCCGGAGGAGCCCAAGACTGCCCAAGCGAGCCCCAAGACGGCCCGAGAGAGCCCCCAGGAGCCCCCTAAACGGGCCCCAAGAGCCGCCCAAGAGGGCTCACGGATAGCTCCGAGACAGCCCCAAGACGGCCCAAGAGGCCGTCCAGACGGCTCGCGGCGGCCAAAAGTCATTGATATCCGTAAGGGCTTCGCCCCCTGCCGCTGGCCCCCTCTCTCGGAGAATGGGCCATGGAAGAGCGAAGTCATGAGGCTTGTCGGGACCTGTTTGTGTTTCGACCCTGACCCTACGGATCTGCGTGAGGGGTGCCACCGAATTTTAGAAATGTGGCAAATCCCATGTGTTGTTGAACCCTGACCCTACGGATCTGCATGAGGGGTGCCGCCGAATTTCAGAAATGTGGCCAATCCCCTGTGTTTTTGGACCCTGACCCCGCCGATCTGCATGAGGGGTGCCACCGACTGTCAGAAATGTTGCAAATCCCGTATGTTTTTGGACCCTGACCCCGCCGATCTGCGTGAGGGGTGATAATTTTTACCCACCCCAGCAATTCAGACAATACGATTTCTCCGTGGTAACAATGCCCGTTTTGGGCCTCCCCCCCTCGCGCGGTCCATCAACAAGGAACAGTAAGCAGCAACAAGGAACAGTAAGCAGCAAGAAGCAAAACTGTAACAGTGGAAACTGGAAGCTGCAACTGGCACAGGAAACTGCGAACCTCCGGCCTACAGCCTGGTGGCCCCATAAGGGGGCCGGCGGATTATTCGATGGTTGTTGCCTGATGTTCAGATTCTCGCGATTTTGAGCTAAGACCGGCACAAGAGAGCACCTGGCCCCCCCCCATGAATGCTCCAAGGCTCAAGAGGCTCCGGCAAGGGCCCCAAGACAGTTCAGGAGTGCTTCAAGACGGCTGTTGGAGGAGCCCAAAACGGCCCAAGCGAGCCCTAAGACGGCCCGAGAGAGCCCTCAGCAGCCCCCAGACGGTCCCCAAGAGCCGACTAAGACGGCCCGACGGACGACAGCCTGAAAGGCGCCCAAAACGGCCCAAGACTGCCCATGAGGCGCCCGAGACGGCCCCAAGTCACCCTCAAGACCCCGTACGAGGCCCGAGCATACCTCTGTCCCCACGAGAGCCCAAGAGGTTTCCAAACTGCACTCAGAGAAGTGAGGCAGACGACAGTTTTCAACGCTCCGGGGGCCCTGCATGCTTCTGTTTCGGGGGGGGCTTTGTCGTAGGACCCACGATTCCCCAACGAAGATCGAGAGGATGATGCCTCAGGACACGCACACTCTGAACACGCTACACGACGTGGACGGAATCCACAGATTCGCCCTAGTCTCTTCTACAATGCAGCGACCTTTGCGTGCGAGAAGGTCCTCTGTCCCGAAAGGCCGCCCGGGCCCTCCTGCGCGCCCTGCGAGTCCCCCGGGCGCTCCGAGACGGCTCCGGGGGGTCCCCAGGTGCCCCGAGACGGCCCCAAGACGCCTCAGAGACGCTCAAGAGGGCGCCAGGAACCCCAAGAGGACCCCAAGCGAGCCCCCAGGATGGCCCCAGAGGCCTCCAAGGCAGGCCAGGAGGCCCCCGAGACGGGCCAGGAGAGCTCCAAGAGGCAAGAATCGCCCCATTCCCGTCGGAAAACGTCTATTTGGGATATGTTCGTTCTTTCCGCTTGCACAGTCTCCAAGACGGTCGTGCAGGCCCCCAAGATCGCCCTAAGACGCCCCCACGAGGGCCCCAAAACGGCCCGAGACGGCCCCGCGACGGCTCCAGAGGCGCCCGAGACTGCCCAAGAGGCACTCAAGACAGCCCCAAGAGCGCCAAATAACAACCCAAGATGGCCCCAAGATGGCCCCAGAGGCACTCCAGACGGCCCAAGAGGGCCCCGAGAGACCCCCAGGAGGACGAAAAGAGGCCCCCAAACGGCCCCAAAGAGGCCTTCGATGCTTCTCTCTTGGGGAGCGTCGACGACTGACGATCGAAGATCGACGGGATGAAAGATCGAGGGACGAGGAGGAGGACGCCCACAATTGCCCCACAAGCCGACAGGACCCACCGATATGTCCCGAGCATGACCCGAAGGAGGCCCCTAGAGGGTCCAGACATACCGAGACGACCCCTAACTAAGATCGACGGGATGCAGGATCCAGGGGAGGACGAGGAAGGCGCCCAAAATGGCCCCAAAGCCGATAGGAGCCACAAAGATGTCCCGACAATGCCCCGAAGAAGGCCCCAAGAGAGTCCAGACACCCCGAGAAGGCTCGTAACCGTCAGCCCAAGCAAACCCAATGGACAGGTACTCCAGCGTCCTATCGGTGATCCTCCCGCGCGCTGGGCGTCTGAGCGGCCCCGGTGCGGAGATGAGCGCATGGACGGGGACGTCACGATGGCGGGCAAATTCCGCGGCCGGAAGGCCGCGGGTCAGCCCTGTAGGGGGACACGCCCGACTTAACCCTAGTACCTGCTACATTGCAGGGCCCCGCGCGTGCGAAGAGTAGGATTCGGACCAAAATGGCGCAGCAGGCGCCCTGGCGGCCCCTGCGAGCCCCGGCAGGCCCGGCGCGCTCCGAGGCGCTCCAAGGTGGCCCAAGAGCGCTCCGAGACACCCCCCTCGGCCCCCACGAGGGCCCCAAGAGGGCCCAAGATGGCCTCCTAGAAGGTCCAAGAGCAGTCCAAGACGCCCAAGATGCCCTCCCAAGAGGCCCCCCAAGACGCTCCAAGTGAGCTCCAAGACAAGCCCCAAAGAGAGCCCGAAAGAGGAAAAATCGCCCCAATCCCTAGGGAAAACGCACATGTTTGCAATTTCCGTGCTTTGCGTCCGAAGCGCGTCCAAAACGGCCATACTGGCCCCCAAGATCGCCCCAACACGCCTCTGGAAGCCCCTTTGACGGCCCCAAGACGGCCCAAGAGGCGGCCAAGACAGCGCCAAGAGCGGTCAGGCTCAAGAGGCACCTAAGACAGCCTAAGAGGACCCCAGGAGGCTCCCAGACGGTTCACAAGAGGCCCGAAGATGACGGCCGAAGAGCCACCCAAGACAGCCCCATGAGCAGCCAAAGACGGCCTTAGACGGCCTCGAAACGGTCCCAGATAGCCTTTCGGCAACACCTCCGCCGCTTCACGAAGAGCTTCTTGAAAAAGATTACGTGGACGGAGTCCACGGGTCAGCCCTAGTCTCTACTACATTGCAGGGCCCAGTGCGTGCCAGAAGGGCGCAGGCCCCAATGCACCGAAACCGCCCCGGGCTGGCCCCGGGCCGCCCCGGGCCGCCCAGGCAGGCTCCAGGACATGTCGAGAGGGCCCCCAGAAGCCCCCAAGACGGCCCCGGAGAGCCCCGGCACGCTTAAAGATGGGCCCAAGACGCCCGAGATTCGCCCCAGACGGCCCAAGAGGCGTCCAAGACGCCCGAAGAGGCCTCCCAAGAGGCCTCCCAAGAGGGCCCCGAGCGACAGAAATCGTCGATTTCTATTGTGTTTTTCTATGTTTTCGGCCTCCTCGCCTCTTCGGCTTCCCGACGCTCCAAGACGGCCCAAGAAGTCCCCCCGACCGCTCCAAGACGGCCGAAGAGGACCCCAAGAGAGCCCCAAGACGGGCCAGGAGGGCCCCAAGACGGTCCCAAGACGCCCCAGGACGGCCCCAGGACGGCCCAGGAGGCGCCCCAGACGGCCCAAGAGGCACCCAAGACGGCCCCAGGAGCGGCCCAAGACGGCCCAAGACAGCCCAAGAGGCGCCGAGGCGGGCCTCAGACGGCCCCAAGACGGCCCAAGAGGCACCCAAGACGGCCCGAGAGGGCCCTAAGAGCCCCCCCGGGAGGCCCAAAAGAAGGCCGAAGAGGCTCCGAAACGGCCCCCACGAAGCCTTCAGTGGCTTCAGAATTCCCTCCAGGAGCGGGGGAGCGGACGAGAGGCGACAGGCATATCGCACGCAAAAACGCCCCAAGAGATCCCCAAACGGCCCCCGCGAAGCCCTAAGTGGCCTCAGAATTGCTTCCAGGAGGGGGGGAGCGGACGAGAGGCGACCGGCATATCGAAGACACACAAGAACAATGTTGGACGCTCCGAGGGCCTTCGATGTTTCTCTGTTGGGGAGAGTCGTCGTAGGATCGACGATTGCCGACCGAGGGCATGGAGAATCCAGCGAAAGAGGAGAAGAAGGTGGAAGAGGAGGAGGAGGAGGAGGAGGAGGAGGAGGAGGAGGAGGAGGAGGAGGAGGAGGAGGAGGAGAAGGCACCCTTACGACAAGCGGGGCCTGGCGCTGCACTGCGAGATGTGGAAAGCCAAGCTGGAGCCCGACGCCATCATGATTGCCTTTCGGCCCTGCAGCCGCACCCCCCCGCGCTTGCCCAGAGACCCCTCGCCACGTCGAGCTGATGTCGTGGACGGAGTCCACAGGTCTGCCCTAGTCAGCTACAGTGCTGGGATCAGCGCCTGCGAGAAGGGCGAGCAGTGGCAGCGGGCTCTGGCGCTGCTCGGCGAAATGTGGGAAGTGAAATTGGAGCCCAACAGCATCTGTACTACAATTCCGGGCGAAGCGCGTGCGAGAAGTACAAGCAGTGGCAACGCCCCGGGCCGCCCAGAGAGCTCGCGGGCCGCCCGGAGAGCCTCCGGGCCGCTGCCCGACGGGCCCGGGAGGCCCCCGGACCGCTCGCGGACTGTTCCAGGATTCCCAGATCGCCCCAAGACGGCTTCAGGAGGTCCCGAAGACGGCCCAAGACGGTCCAAGAGTGTATCCGAGACGCTTAAGATGGCTTCAAGACGCCTTCAAGACGGCCCGAGACGCCTCCACGAGGCCCGCAGAGCGCTCGAAGTGTACCTCCAAGAGGGGCCGCAGAAGCCAAAATCGTTGATTTTCTCTGTGTTTTTGTCGATGTTTCTGGCCTTCTCGCTTTTTCGGCTTTCCGACGCTCCAAGACCGCCCAAGAGGCCCCCAAGACCGTTCCAAGACGGCCCAAGAGGCCTTCAAGACGGCCCCAAGACGGCCCAAGAGGGCCCCAAGACGGCCCAGGAGTCGCCCAAGACGGCCCAAGAGGGCCCCAAGAAGGCCCCAAGAGAGGCCCAAGACAGGGACCAGGAACCAAAAAATTGAGGCCTCCACCCCAAGAGGCCCCCAGGAAGCCCCAAGACGCCCCAAAGAAACGCCGGGACGCTCCCAGAGGCTCCCGAGAGGCCAACCACGAGATCCCAACCAACATCCACGAGATCTCTTACCCATTACCCAGGCCCTCGGCGAGATTGCCCGCAGGCCACTACAGCCGGTACGTATACCAGCGAGGGCCCCGTGGACCATGCCTTGAGTTTGGGGTGATCGCGCACAGTCCCAGCGCGATTAGCAAAAACCCATTCCTCTTCACGCTTCCAGGTCAGTGCCCCCGGGGCTCCCCGACTGCTTCCTGAGATCGCCCCTGGACGTGGCCCCTTACACTCAGGAGGGAAAAAAACACACAGACACAACGAATCGTCGATCCCAAGGAAAATATTGGAAAATATGGGAATTGGGCGGGAAGACAAAAACCCAGAAGATGTGGGAAAATATGGGGGATCGTTTGATTTCTGTGTATTTATGTGTGTGTCCTTGGGCCCCTTGATACACGTCGGCTCCACGCGCGGCCTCCAGACGGGACCCCCAAAGGGCGGCCCCCACACACAAAGCCTCCGGAGGTCGCCCCCTACCGCCCCAGTGAGCGTGGCCCCCGAACGTCAACCCCACGCGTAGCCCCCAGGCGCCCCCAAGCGTGGCCCCAAGGCACACAGCCCCCAACCATGGCCCTCAAACGTGACCCTCACATCTGCCCCCGAACCCCGCACCCTCGAACGCGACGGTCACATGTGCCCCCGAACCCCGCACGCGGCCCCCAGACATGGCCCCCGGCAGGGCCGCGAGCGTTGCCCCCAATCATGACCCCGTGACGAGACCCCCCAACGTGGCCCTCAAACGAGGCCCCCCAACGTGACGCCCAACTCTGGCCCCCACGCGTCCACCCCCCACATCGAACTTCTCGCGCACAGGGACTCTGTAAGATCGTTCGGGCCCCCTTACTCTGATTGTGTCTGAAAAACTACGAGTTTCTGCTAATCGCGCCCAGGCCTCGCGCGATTAGCAAAAACACATTACTTTTGACGCTTCCAGCGCTTCCGACACGTGCGCGTTCGGGACCAACGCCTGGACCTGCGGGCCGTGGATTTTCCACGGGTTCACACTGGTCATCTACAACGCTGGGGCCAGCGCGTGCGAGAAGGGCAAGCAGTGGAAGTGGGCCCTGTCGTTGATCGGCGAAATGCGGGAGGCGAGGCTGGAGCCCGACGCCATCGAACCTATAATACCGGGCGTTGTGCGTGCGAGAATGGCCATTGGGGCACCTTCGCCAGGCCCTGGGGGGCGGCACCTCGGCGGCTCCGCTCGTGGGGACGGTCCACGAGGGCCCCCAGAGAGCCCACGGTGGCTTCCAGGGAGCCCCAAGAGAGCCCAAAACGGCCCAAGAGGCCTCCACGACGGCCCAAGAGACGCCCAAGTGGCGTCCCACGAGGGCCCCAACATGCCAAAATCATTGATTTTCCAGAGGGCAACGTACATTTTGAGCGGCTTTCATGGCGCTGAAGACAGTCCAAGAGGCCCCCAAGACCGCCCCAAGACGGCCTAAGAGGCTCCCAAGAGGCCCCTAAAACGGCCCAAGACGCGCCCAAGACGGCCCAAGAGGGCCCCAAGACGGCCCCAAGAGGGGGACCTCGAACCCAAGATCCCAGCCTTCCGCCCCAAGACGCCCCCAAGAGGCCCCCAAGAGGCCCAAAAGAGGCCCCAAGATGCCCCCAAACGGCCCCCAAAAGGTTTCGAAACTGCCTCCGAGAGGCCCGCGAGAAGCCTCCCCGGAAGGCCGACTCTGGAACAACCCCCACATCTGGCCCAGCACGGCACCCAAGGTTTCCGAAATCGGCCTACCGTGGCCCGGGTGGACTCCCAGGAAGCCTTGAAATTTCCTATTTCACTGAAGCCCCGTCGGATTGGAAACACACACACACACACACCTCACCTCTTGGGGCACCTCTCGCATTATACCTCAAGGCCTCCTGGGGCACGCGGCATGCGAGAGAGGCCTCAGAAAACAGCGTCCCTGGGTGCCGCGGGGAGGCCCGGACGAATCTTTGGCAAGCCCTCCCGAGAAAGAGGTGTCCCATGAGGTGCGGGGTATTGTTCCCAACCATCTTGTGGTGTTGGGTCCTCGTTTTGATGAGACAGCGCCCCGCGTCCCACCTCCTCTCCTCCTCCCCCATCCTCCCATCACCATCACCATCACCATCACCATCACCATCATCATCATCATCATCATCATCATCATCATCATCATCATCATCATCATCATCATCATCATCATTATCATCGTCATCATCATCAGCATCAGCATCAGCATCAGCATCAGCAGCAGCAGCATCATCATCATCATCATCATCATCATCCCCTCCCCTTCACCACACCATCGTCACCACCATCACCATCACCCATCATCATCATCATCATCATCATCATCATCATCATCATCATCATCATCATCATCATCATCATCATCATCATCATCATCATCATCATCTGCAGCATCATCCTCATCCACATCCTCCTCAACATCATCGTCATCAGCATCGTCCCCTCCGCCCATATCGTCACACCCCTCACACGGTTCGTGGCCACATAGGGAGCTCCACCGAAGGCCCCAGTGGCACAGTTCGCATGCGTCCTCCCGCCCACCGCAGGCCCATTTTGGCACACCCCTCACACGGCTCGTGGCCTCATAGGGAGCTCCACCGAAGGCACCAGTGGCACAGTTCGCATGCGTCCTCCCCGCCCACCGCAGGCCCATTTTGGCACACCCCTCACACGGTTCGTGGCCCCATAGGGGGCTCCACCGAAGGCCCCAATGGCACAGTTCGCATGCGTCCTCCCCGCCCACCGCAGGCCCATTTTGGCACACCCTTCACACGGTTCGTGGCCCCATTGCTAGCTCCACCGAAGGCCCCAGTGGCACAGTTCGCATGCGTCATCCCCGCACACCGCAGGCCCATTTCAGCACACCCCTCACACGGTTCGTGGCCCCATAGGGAACTCCACCGAAGGCCCCAGTGGCACAGTTCGCATGCGTCCCCCCCGCCCACCGCAGCCCCATGTTGGCACACCCCTCACACGGTTCGTGGCCACGTAGGGAGCTCCACCGAAGGCCCCAGTGGCACAGTTCGCATGCGTCCTCCCTGCCCGCCCCATAGGAGCTCCACCGAAGGCCTCAGTGGCACAGTTCGCATGCGTCCTCCCCGCCCACCGCAGGCCCATTTTGGCACACCCCTCACACGGTTCGTGGCCCCATAGGGAGTTCCACCGAAGGCCCCAGTGACACAGTTCGCATGCGTCCTCCCCGCCCACCGCAGACCCACTTTGGCACACCCCTCACGCGGTTCGTGGCCCCATAGTGAGCTCCACCGAAGGCCCCAGTGGCACCGTTCGCATGCGTCCTCCCCGCCCACCGCAGGCCCATTTTGGCACACCCCTCACACGGCTAGTGGCCCCATAGGGAGCTCCACCGAAGGCGCCAGTGGCACAGTTCGCGTGCGTCCTCCCCGCCCACCGCAGGCCCATTTTGGCACACCCCTCACACGGCTAGTGGCCCCATAGGGAGCTCAACTGAAGGCCCCAGTGGCACAGTTCGCATGCATCCTCCCCGCCCACCGCAGGCCCATGTTGGCACACCCCTCACACGGTTCGTGGCCCCATAGGGAGTTCCACCGAGGGCCCCAATGGCACAGTTCGCATGCGTCCCCCCCGCCCACCGCAGCCCCATGTTGGCACACCCCTCACACGGTTCGTGGCCACATAGGGAGCTCCACCGAAGGCCCCAGTGGCACAGTTCGCATGCGTCCTCCCTGCCCACCGCAGGCCCACATTTTGGCACACCCTTCACACGGTTCGTGGCCCCACAGGGAGCTCCACCGAAGGCCCCCGTGGCACAGTTCGCATGCGTCCCCCCACCCACCGCAGGCCCATTTTGGCACACCCCTCACACGGCTCGTGGCCCCATAGGGAGCTCCGCCGAAGGCCCCAGTGGCACAGTTCGCATGCGTCCTCCTTGCCCACCGCAGGCCCATTGTGGCACGCCCCTCACTCGGTTCGTCTCCCCATAGGGAGCGCGGGCGAAGATTATATGCACAATGGCAGTATTCACAGCTGCATATGGTTCGGTCCTTCGCCAGGCTAATTTTTTACTCACAGGTGGACTCCCTATTCTCTTGGAACCGTCTTGGGGCTCGTTTGGAGCTTACTTGGGGCCTCTTGGGGCCATCTTGGGGCCCCATGAGGGGCCTACACGAAGACGGCTCCTTTTCGCGACAAGTTGTTGGGCCTTTTTCAAACCCTCTTGCGGCCCTCTTGGGGCAGTCTTGGGTCCTCCTGAGGGGGTCCTATGGGGGCTGAGGGCTCCCTGAGAGCTCTAGCCGACTTACCCCCGCGTCTGGAGCT